TAAATCATGTCATGAACGCTTGATCAGACATCTGACACATTTTAAAATTTCCTTTAACAATTTAAGGCCAACAGGGCTTCTTGTGAGGGCATTTAATATCTTACCAAGAAAAAAATCTAGTACAGACTGCAAAACATATAATGGCACAGAGTCAGTGAGAATGGTTGCATTATTTTGGGAAATGGCAAAAGCTGGATCTCTTCAATCTCTTCTCCCTCGGCCAGTCTTCAGCCAGGACACAAACTCCTTGGCTGCCTGGTCTTGCAGGTAGGAACTCACATCGCTGGTGTAAGTGCCGTCTGCATGGCGTCTCCTGTGTGAAGAAGTCACAATAGCTGCATATGTAACTGTGGTGCGACAGACCAAAAAACCCCAAATCCAATTGGGTACATTGAACATGACTTGGAATCATTTTGATTTAGGTTAAAATCACAAACGGAAACAAGAGAAGCAATCTACAGAACGAATGCAGTTATATTTAGACTTTAGACTGTCTTTTACAAATTTAAAGGCACAAACTTACAAATTTGTGTCTTTAGAAAAACAAAAAAACAAAAAACTGTGACACTCACCCATTCCTTTTTGAGTTCTTCAGCCACTGGACAAAGTCTTGTGCTCTTCTTGTCTCCAGGTATTTGCTGTAGTCGTTGGAAAATGTTCCCTCTGAATGTCTCTTCATGTTTTGGATCTCAGTGGGTTCGTTGAGGATGGAGTTTTCAGTCAATAGCCTAAAAAAGTGATGCATTATGAAAAATAAGTGAACAGAGCTAATGTACGCTCACCATTGCAATAGCCTGGAGTCCCCTGCTTCTTACAAGTTAACTCTTTATTTTTTATTCTGCATCATTCTTCTCATATGTCCATGACTACTCATATATACTTCATACTACTCAGAAATCTGGAGTTATATCAATCAATCAATCAATCAATCAATCAATAGACTGATCAACCGATCGATAGAACAATAGATCGATAGATCGATAGATATAGGTATATAATAACAATATAACATTGTTTAGAATTAAATTCAAGCAAAAAACATAAATTTATAATTATTTATTATTAATTAATAAGTGTGCTAATCAAATTTTGATTTAAATTACACTTTATAAATTACACGGGCTATCAACACTGTGGATCATTTTTTTCATTTTGCCAACAGCTGCTCCATTAATGCAGCACATGAGACTAATAGTAATACTACTACTACTACTAATGTCTGAGGCAGTGTAAAATGACTGAAAGTTGGTCTTACATAGAGTGTCGGTCTGTGTCCTGGTCAGGAACCTGCCAGCTGCTTTGAATGATGATGAGGAGCAGGAGTCCGGCTAAAGAATGAGCACTATTCATTGTTTGAGCCTCTGAAAAAATACAAAAAGAAATTTATGGAAAAAATGACGTTAAAAATCCATTCAATAAAATTTAACAAGATATTCTACATTTAGATAGCGCTGCAAAAATGTCTCACCTGTGGTTCTTTCTGCTGAGCGTTTGAGAGAGGGATGGCAGTTTTCTCTTCTTCTCTCTGGCTTCCTAAGCTGTTTCATGGTCCCCTCTTGATCTGCTGAGCGTTTATATAGGGGAGATGAGGAGCACTCTCCCAGGTGACTTCACCGTCACAGAAACCTTAGCATATCACCTGTTACTTTCAATCCATTAGTCAGCTTCCGCCTTGTTCCCCTGAATATATTTGACTTTGGGTTTTTAAAAAATAACAGCTGGGTGGTGAAATCTGTTGCTTTATTTAGTCCAAATCAAACACGATCTCTACCCTGATAAATAAATCCATGCCCATGTATGTGTTTGATTGAATTCAACTCAGCTGGCCATTTTGGATATATAATGTTTCCTATTATTCTTGTATATTTTTCTCAATTTATATAATTTGTATAATAAAACTTAATTCAAAGCACACATTAATGTTATATATTGCTAGTACTGGGTGTTTTTATTTTAATCTTAATTTGCATGTTTGAACAGTAAGGAGATCAGTAATAATCTTTTGGCCCAAATAAAAGAACCATTTATGTAAAGAAAAGCAATGAATCAATTAAATGTTGAAAAAAGTTTATTTGAATATTCTTATAACACAAATGACTCCACTTTGCAACAAATCAGTGCAATGCATTGCAGTTAATGTATGCTATGATAATCACACATACACACGCACGCACACACATACATAAAATTTTTTAACCTACAAATGCATGATAGGACTTGTATCTTTGCATATCACATATTTTGCAAAAAATTCCACACAACATACAGATGCTCATTTAAATGAGCAATCTAACATTTGTTGCATTAGTTCAACCTGGTTTTCAGAATATTACAATTAAAAAAAGCACATTAAAAATGCATTAGACAAAGAAACTGTGGTAACAACTGTTGCCTACAAATGCTGTTACATCCTTCACATCTATTTGGGACTAAGGAGGCATTTCTGCAGGAAGTGACTCATGTGCCTGTATATATGATGATAGGCTGATCCACTGAGACTATGGTCCTTGTCGGTGTACCACTGAAAGCAATACCAGAATATGATTAGTGCATAGACTATAAGTCAATTCCAGATAACATCATGCACATTTTAAATCACACTTATTTTAGATTTAATTTTGCTTATAATAGACCTTTTTTTTTTTTCCATTTGAAATCTTCATTACATCAACAACATCATTCCCAATATTAGCCTCACTTCCCTGAGCTAATATTTACCATCACCTCGAAGTCCACTTGCGCATCCACCAGAGCTTTGGAGATTTGTGCAGCCTGCTGGAAATGGACATTGTCTACGGGAAAGACAGAGCTTTTACTACGTGACTGAAAGCTCAAGTTTCTATCAAGGCAAACAGAGTATATTTGTGCATGGCTTACTGTGTTACCTGGAACGCCTCTGAGAAAACGGGCTACCACATGTTCAGGTCTTATCAGAAATAGAAATTACTGAAAGAAATAACAGAACGTACCATCCGCTGTGCCATGGACCAAGAGATATTGAACATTTTTGAAGTTCTTTGCTCTGGAGGTCACTGTGGAGTTCTAGAAAATAAAAGAATTAAAAACAGTCTCAAGGCAGAAATGTGCCTTTACTTCACCACACAGCTAATCTGAATGATATTTACTTTGTACGAGTCGGAATTCTCAGTTGGCTTGCCCATGTAGCGTTCAGTGTAAACTGCATCTGTGGAAGAAAACTCAGTTAACACTGCAAAAGCGGATACAATGGAAACACAAAAATAAATCATGCGTATTTAACATAGGGAGGGAAAAGTTTAGATTGAATGATTACAAGCTATAGGAAATCTTAAAGATGAACTCCATCAACTTTCAGGGCTGAATGTGTCAAAATTACTAGTGTAGAGTTACAAAGAGGTGTAATCACCAGCCTAGTTTTTATCTCTACATGAGGCCAGAAGCTCAGGGTTCAATAACAGCAATAAGGATGCACTGTGAGTAATGGAGGTTAACCACAGTTAGGGTTTGGCAAGAAAAACAACACATCTCTGTTATTCTGCTGAATGTACACTGAAATCAATTCAAATGCTGTTACTTTTTTTTGGACTTTACTGACTTTATATATTTTCACTCCAAATATTTCTTAAGATGATATTTCAGTCTTTAGGTGGGTCAGCTGAATAATCAGAATGATTGCTTTGCATACTGCATCATCTGGTGCATGATGGAGGATGTTGAGAAAGCACTATTCTACAAACATTTTCATTATGACTTCACTAAAGTCATAATGAAAACAAGATTTAGAATATTCAAGACTTTTGAGTAGCTTCGCAGTGAAAAAAAGGCAGTGACTCACTGCCCAAGCCAGCAATTTTGGATACAGCATCAAAATGCCCTTTCCTGCCTTCCCTGTACAAATAAGGCAGGTTCTTGTATTCAGCACGAAAATATTAATCACACTGAAGATGTGGAGAAAAGTAATGGATCAAACATGACACTAACGCTGTTACAATACAGCTTATGTAAAGTGAAGGCTATACAAGAAAATAAGCAGCCTGTAAAATTACACTGACCAGCTACTTTGATAGTTACACGTGTTCAACTGCTCATCAACACAGACGCACAAATAGGCCAATCACTTGCGTTCAACCCAACCACATGCATTTAGGCATACAGACATTGTTAAGATGAGATGCTGATATTGATGGTAAATTAAAGTGACTTTGAACATGGCATGGTTGTTGATACCATACAGTCTTGTCTGAGTGTTTCAGAAACTGTTGATCTGCTGGGATTTTCCCATAAAGCCACCTCTAGGGTTTATAGAGCACTGTCTAAAAAAAAGAAAATATCCAGTGAGCAGCAGTTTTTAGGGTAAGAAATGCCTTATTGATGACAGAGATCTGATGAGAATCTGCTTTAAAATAGCCACTTGTTACAAGAAACATATACAGAAGTTTTGTCAGCTGAGAACAAGAAACTGCGGCTATAATTCACAAAGGCTCAACAAAAGTGGGCAACAGAAGAAAATGCTGCTTGGTCTTGTGTGAGTCATGATTAGTAGTTTGACATTCAGATGGTAGGGTCAGAATTTGACGCAGCATAGTTGGATCCTTCATTGTATCAACAGCTCAGGCGGTAGTGTAATGTGGTGGTAGTGTAATGTGGTGGAAATATTTTCTTGGCATACTTTGGGCCTCTTAGTACCAACTGGGCATCATTTAAATTCCACTGCCTGCCTGAGTATGGTTGGTGACCATGTTCACAGTGTACCCATCTTCTGATGGCTGCATCCAGCAGGATAAAGCATTATTTCAGCTGTTGTTAGCAATAGTTCTTTAAAAACTTAACTGAGTTCACTCAGATGCACTCCACAGTCACCAGATCTCAATCCAATAGAGCACCTTTGAGATGTGGTGGAACAGGAGATGCCAACAAATTGCATTATGGATGCCAACAATTTTGCAGCAGCTGTGTGAAGCTGTCCTATCAATACGGACCAAAATCTCTGAGGAATGTTTTCAGCACCTTGTTGAATCTTTGCCACAAAAAAGTGAGGCAGTTTTGAAAGCAAAAGGGAATCCAAGCTACTCTGGCAAGGTGTACCTAATGAAGTGGTGGGTGAGTGTATATATTATAGGCTATGTATGCATGTTCACCCACCATAATAGTCCCACTTGGCTACTGGGGCTACTGCAATTCCACACTTAAAGAGTCCAGTTCCAGCACCCAAGGCCATTGAGGAAACATAACCACCATATGACTGAAGATCAGAACAGATTGCATTAGTAAGAACATGTAAAGTGATTATAAAGATAAAGAAAGAGGAAAAAGCAGGATAAAATACAGCTTACCCAGCCCCATATTGCTATTCTGCCTTCATCAATAAATCCCATGTCAATGAATTTCCTGTAACAGGGAGATCAGTTATTATCTGGGGCAAAACACATTTGTTAAACCAGACTACATCAGGCATTTATCTAGATGAAGACTTTTGTATGTATGTAAAAGATTAAATTTATTCATACAACAGCTAAAGAACAACACTCATCACAGAGGTGATTGAACGTTTAGATAGATCTACCTCACAGCAGCTATTTGATCTTCCACTTCAAATGTCCCTAGGCGTCTATAGATTGAGTGCATTATTTCATCCCCTTGGTAACCACTTCCCCTTCCATCAAAGCTGGCAATGATGATCTCATGTGAACTGGAGAGGTACGTGCCCCAGTTCAGCTTGAAGCGATAGTTCACACTCTGACTGCACGGACCACCATAACTACACAAGGAGAGCAACACTGTAAATTTACTTCTGTAAATGTTAGTGGTGTCACATGCAATTTGGAATATTGCTCACTCACACATCAATAAGAAGAGGATATTTTTTAGAATTCTTGAAATTGGGTGGTAACATCATTTCATACCAAAGATCTGTTGGCAAAAACACAGGAACTTGTGAAAGAAGATGAAAAACGATGTTTCACATACTAGGACGTCATTACAAAACATCTGGTCAACACATACAATGGCTGATATACTTACTGACTTACAATCATAAAACAGGCGATACAACCTTAGTTGTAATTCATCATTTTGTATGCTGAAAATGTTGCTGTTACTAAGAACCATCGTGTGTGCTCATGTGAAAAAGAGCACATTAGACATACATTCAAACACAAAGCAGATGATTTCCATATGTCTTCAACAGTTTCTGAGATGGATTTTTCAACATGCATTTCTCACCAAATCCTCCAATCTTTAAGGTGCCATGTTTCATTGTTGGCATTTGGAATTCAGACAAACTCTTTTTCAGGTCCTTATTGTCTTGAAGAACGGCAAGCTCTGAAAACAAATAAATAAATAAAGTAGCTGCAATGTTGTGTCCATAAAACAAACAT